AGCTGAAGTCAGATGCTTAACCAATTGTACCACCCAGGCAACCCAACTGGTGTTCTTATAAGACAAAGGAGAGGGAAATTTGAGAGAGACACAGAGGGTAAAGATCATCTGAAGATTACAGTTATGTTGCCACAAACCAAGGAACCCCGGAGCCACCAGAAGCTGGAAGAGGCAAGGAAGTATTCTCCCCTAGAGCCTTTGGAGGAAACCTGACCCTGCTGAACTCTTTTTTTTTTTTTTTTTTTTAAGATTTTATTTATTTGACAGAGAGAGACGCACAGCGAGAGAGGAAACACAAGCAGGGGGGAGTGGGAGAGGGAGAAGCAGGCTTCCCACGGAGCAGGGAGCCCGATACGAGGCTCGATCCCAGGACCCTGGGATCATGACTTGAGCTGAAGGCAGACACCTAACAACTGAGCCACCCAGGCGCCCCTCTGCTGAGCTCTTAATTTTGGGCTTCTGTCCTTCAGAATTGTGAGGGAATAAATTTCTGTTGTATTCAGTCACCGAATTTGTGGTAATTTGTTACAGGAGTCCTAGGAAACTAATTTACGTTCTTTGACGCACACAGTTAAATTTTGATAAAGTACAGTCATTCTGTTTTCTCTTTGATTGCTTGTGCTTTTGACATCATATCTAAGAAACTGTTGCTTAATCTAGGGTCACACAGATTTTTGTCTGTTTTCTTATATGTGAGTTTTATAGTTGTAGCTCTTACATTTAGGTCTTTGATTTATTTTGAGTTAATTTTTGTATATGGTGTGAGATAGGGGTCCACATTAATTCTTTTACATGTGGAATTCTTTTACATAAGTGGGTCCTAGCACCACTTATGGAAAGCTGTTTTTTCCCCATGGAATGGTCTTAACACCCGTGTTGAAATTGAGTTGACCATAAATGTATGGACTTATTTCTGGGTCCTTAGTTCAATTCCATCCATAAGTCCATCCATATGCCAATACCATGCTGTCTTGATTAATGTAGCTTTGTACTATTGAAATTTGAAAATGTGAGTCCTCCAGTGCTGCTCTTTTTCAAGATTGTTTTGAAATTCCATATCAGTACTATTACGATCAGTTCATCCATATTTGAGGGAAAAAAAGACATATGATAGCCATTCTTTGAATCTCTAGATCAATTTGGCGTACGTTGCTATCTTTATAATCTGAAGTTTTCCAATCCATGGACATGGGATATCTTTCCATTTATTTAGATCTTTAATATTTTTCAGCAGTGTTCTATATAAAAGTCTTGCACTTCTTTAAAGTTATTCCTAAGTATTTTATTCCTTTTGAGGATATTTTAGATGGAGTTATTTTCTTAATTTCATCTTTAGACTGTTTATTACTAGTATATAGAAATGCAACTTATATTTGTTTATTGATCTTGTATCCTACAACTTTGCTGAACTCATTTATTAGCTCTAATACTCTTTTGTAGGTTGTTTTAAGGGTTTTCCATATATAATATCATGTCATCTGTAAATAGAGATAGTTTTCCTTCTTCCTTTCCAACCCTAGCTAGAACCTATATAAGAGTGGTGGTAAAAGCAGACATCATTTCTTTTTGCTGATCTTGAGGAGAAAACTTTCAGGTTTTCCCTTTAAGACTGATACTAGCTATGGGTTTTTCATGGATGCTATTTATCAGATTGAGAAATTACCCCTCTATTCCTAATTTGTTGAGCACTTATATCATGAAACAGTGCTGGGTTTTGTCAAATGATTTTTCTGTGTCTATCGAGAAGATCACTTTTTCCCCATTATTATATTAATATCGTGCATTGTATTGATTGGTTTTTATGTGTTGAACCAAGCTTACATTCCTGGGATAAATCCCACTTGGTTGTATGCAATTCTTTTAATATCCTGCTGTATTCAGCTTGCCAGTATTTTATTGAGGATTTTTGCATCTGTAGTCCTAGGAGATGTTAGTCTATAGTTTTATTTTTTTTTTTGTGAGGTCTTTGTCTGATTTTGGCATCTGGGAAATACTTCATCAAATGAGTTAGAAAGTGTTTTCTCCTGTTCTCTTTGAAAGAGTTTGAGAAGGATGGGTATTCATTTTTTTAAACATTTGGTAGAATTCATCAGTAAAGCCATCTAGTCTTGGGCTTTTCTTTTATGGGTAGTTTTTTGATTACTAACTCAGTCTCTTTACTAATCATTAGAGGTCTGTTTCTATTTTCTGTTTCTTCTTGAGTCAGTTTTGGTGGTTTGTGTGTTTCTAGGAATTTAACCATTTCACTTACATTATTGAGTTTGTTGGCATACAGTTGTTCATACTATTCCCTTATAATCTTTTTTATTTCTGTGAAATTATTCCTAATGACCCTCTTTCATTCTTGACTTTAGTAAATTGAGTCTTCTGTTGTTGTTTTTTTTTAATCATTCTAGCTAAATTTGATCTTTTCAAAGAACAACTTTTGGTTTAGTTGAGCTTTATTGTTTTTCTATTCTTTTGTTTTATTTCCAACTTATTTTGTATTATTTTCTCACTTCTGCTGGCTTTGGACTTAGTTTGCTCTTTCTCTCCAGTGTCTTAAGGTGGAAAGTTAGGTTTTTTATTTCAGATCTCTTTTTTAATGCAGATATTTATGGTTATAAGTTTCCCTCTGAGCACTGCTTTTGCTGTGTGCCTTAAGTTTTGGTATGGTGTTTTCATTTGTCTCAAAGTATTTTCTGATTTCCTTTGTGATTTCTTCTTTGATCCATTGGCTACCTCTTCTTATGCCAACATCTGGAAACTGTCAGGGCAGTTAACTGGGACAACTGTAAGACTCACCTCATTTGGTTCCCATTTCTCAGAGATCACTGTCCTTTGTTGTCTAATGTCCAGTGTCTTGAAAACATTATTTCATGTATTTTGTTCATTTTCTTAGTTGTTTCGGCTGGGAGGATAAGCCGAGTCCCTGGTACTCCATCTTGGCTAAAAGTGGAAGTTTGGTTTAATTTTTAACATTTAAATCTCTAATGTATTTGGCATATGTGAGAAATGGATCCATTGTTATCTTTTTTTTGCATGTGGCTATGCAGTATTTCTGATTTAAAATTTAAATCAGTAATCACTAATTTTAAAAGTCCCATCTTTTTCTTACTGTTTTTTTCTTATAAGAACTTATAAAACTTTCTTATAAATAGAAAGTCAAATATAGTCGAATAAAATTCTATTTTAGATTTTCTATTCTGTCCCATTGTTGTTGTTCATTATGTTTATTCATGTTTTAATTTTTAAATATCTGGTAAAGTGAGCCTTGTTCCCCATAATTGATCTTTTTCAGGGTTCTTTTATCATCTTGCTTGTTATTCTTTCAAATAACAAATCATAAATACAGAGTTCTCTTGTGAAAGTTAATTTCTTAGCTCTGAAATTTCTTGTGTTCTGATTATTAAGTATTAGGACATATTAAGTACAGACCAAGTCCAGTAACATTCAGGGAGAATAAGAGGGGAGAAATTAAAATATAATCATATTCTCAAAATTGCTTTTGGCTTCAATGGAAAGAGTCTTAAGAGATACGTAAAGAGATCAGAATTAATAGAACTCTATGTTCATTGAATTTACAGGTTTTTTTCTATTGGAGCCTAACACATCTATAAATGTATATATGTGTAATTAAGTATTAATAAAAAAGTGATACAATGAATACAAAAAACTAGGTGGGTTTTTAGCAAGATTTCCAGGTTGTCTCATTTTTATCCTCACCTAACATTATTTTAGGTTTGCAAGTACAGACATGTATTTGCCATCCTTGAACAATGTTTACTTTCAGTGTGCTAGCTTAGTTTGGGAGTGATACATTCCTGCCAGTGAACTCATCTAGATTCCTTTGTAAGGTATCCTTGATAGTAGAAACCATGTCTGCTTCCCTTATTTATCATACTCAAATAAAGTATTAAGGAGCTCATAGGGAAAATGTGGATGTAAATTTTTTTGTTAGCACTTACTAAATTTGTTTTCTTTATATTCCTTTTTAAATTTTATACCTGTATCAAATAATATTTCTAGCTTAGGAAAGCTAGATAAAATATCATCATCATCATTAATCATTAATTACAAATAGTCTTTGAGAGAGATTTTAACAGATGCTGCAAGTAGGAAAACAAAATGACACAAATTCTGCTCTGAAGTTTTTTTTTAATCTATTTCTAGTCAGACATACTGAAAAAAGTGAAAAACAATACCATAGTCAAATGAGTAAAAGAGATAATAACTCATATAAATTTCAAAGGAGAGATAACTGTACATCATAGTGGATCAGGAAACTTTCCTTGGCAAGGTTGAATCAGAGCTGAGGTTTTGGGATAATGGTAAAATTTGGATGTTTGAAGGAAAAGTAGCCTTTCAAAGGGAGATAGTGGAACAAACAGACCAGGAGGCAGGAACTCATATGTTGGGTTTTATGTCAATGACATCAGCCTGATCTAGGGTTTTATTAGAAGAGTATTAATAGATGTGGTAGGAAGGTATTAATGACAACTGATACTTGAGAACTTACTTTATGCCAGTCATTATGCTAAACGCTTGACATGTTTTTATCTAAGTTAATCTTCACAAAGCTGAAGTAGATGATATATTACTATTTTGAAAGTGAGAACAATTACTTTTGAAGAAATTAAGCTACTTCCCAAAGTCAGTCTTCTAGTGAGTGTCAAAGCCTAGATTCAAACCACTTGGTTTCAGTCTGTGCTCTTAACTACATGCAACACTGCTCAATTACATTTAAGTTGTGGAAGGTCTAGAATGCCAAGCCAAGGTGATGAGACAATTCTTGTTCTCTACTATATGCAGTAATCATCTAGGGACCCTCTACCAGGAAATCTTTCAGCAGACTTCTTGAAATTAGTTTGCTTAGAGTTACTGGCACATTTTGGAGTCATTGAACATGTAGACTCAGTAATATGGGAGATGCTAGGATTTCACTGGAAATTTTTTGCTAAAAGCAAATAGCAAGCTTTCAGAAAACTGGAGTAGGTGACTTCTCTTTCCTTTTGCATTAGGCAACACTGGACTATGGAATGTATTCTCGAGAAGAAGAACTATTAAGAGAAAGAAAACGCATTGGAACTGTTGGAATTGCTTCCTATGATTATCACCAAGGAAGTGGAACATTTCTATTTCAAGCTGGTAGTGGAATTTATCATGTAAAAGATGGAGGGCCACAAGGATTTACTGTAAGTTGGTGTTACTATTTGTTAAATCTGTTTTTGGGTCCTAAAGGTTATTTGCATCCAAATCAGAAAGGTAATTAAGCCAAAAAATTATATCTGCCCACCAAGTGAGAAATTTAATAGTAAAGAAAACAAGATATATGAGTATTAATTTCTAATATTAAGAATTAATCATTTTTGCACTGACATTAATATGTAATTTTTTTAAATGCTAAAAACACTTGCTGTGTAGGAAGATTTAGTAAAGGGCATCAATGCCCATTTTCTGAGTAAATGCTGAGGGGGATTTTGGGAGATAATGTTATCACAAGGCAGTCTAATTTTGGTTCCCTTAAAAACTTAATTCATCTTTTTTTTTAAAGATTTTATTTATTTATTTGATGCAGCGAGAGAAGGAGATCACAAGTAGGCAAAGCAGCAGGCAGAGGGAGGGAGAAGCAGGCTCCCCGCTGAGCAGAGAGCCAGATGCAGGGCTCGATCCCAGGACCCTGGGATCATCATCTGAGCTGAACACTTAACTGACTAGCCACCCAGGCACCCAAAAAACTTAATCCATCTTAATAAATGGTTTTAAATGTTTGGTTTTATTCCAGGCAATTCTTTTTTTTTTTTTAAGATTTATTTATTTATTTGAGAGAGAGAGCAAGAACAAGTGGGGGAGGGGCAGAGGGAGAGGGAGAATCTCAAGCAGACTCCCCACTGAGCATGGAGCCTGATGCAGGGCTTGATCTCATGACCCTGAGGTCATGACCTGAGCTGAAATCAAGAGTCAGATGCTCAATGACTGAGCCACCCAGACTCCAGGCAATTCTTCACATAGTATTAGAACTATTCTTTTTTTAGAACTGTATGATCCTGGCTTTTGTTAAATCTTTATGAGCAAACTGTTTCAGATTGGTAAAATTAATTTGAAATATTTAATAAATATTCAATAAATAATAGAAGTATTTAACAAGCAATAATTACTCTATTAAACAGGTTTGGATAACAAAATTTATGAAGCGCTGTTATATTGTCTTTATTTACTTTCCTATTGGGGCACCCGGGTAGCTCATTGGGTTGTATCTCACTCTTGATTTTTGGCTCAGGTCATGAACTCATGGGTCGTGGGATGTGGGGGCTCTGTGCTCAATAGGGAGTCTGCTTTTCTCCTTCTCCTCCCTCTGCCCCTCTGTGTACACTCAAATGCTCTCTCACTCTCTCTTTCTCAAATAAATAAACAAATCTTTTAAAAAATCTTTATTTACTTTCCTATTACGCTTAGCTTTCTAATTCATAGTAAAAAGAAAAAAGAGTCCGTCCTTGTAAGTTAAGGCATGCAAAGGTGTGTTTTTCTGAGGAGCAATTATCATAGTTGACATTTTACTTGGAATTATTGTTCATTTTATAGGAAGGGTGTTGGCAAATGAATATGTATCAGCCTGATACTTGCCTTAAAAATGTTTTTTCTTTTCTAGCAACAGCCCTTACGGCCGAATTTAGTAGAGACTAGTTGTCCCAACATTCGCATGGATCCCAAATTATGCCCAGCTGATCCAGACTGGATTGCTTTTATACACAGCAGTGATATTTGGATATCCAACATTGTAACCAGAGAAGAAAGGAGGCTCACCTATGTGCACAATGGTAACATATAGTTCTTCAAATCTACTTTTCTGAAAAGTATTTTTAGAATTTTGCTTTTGCTCACTTTTTGAAATTGAGGCAAAGTAGGCAACCTTTATATTTTAAATTCAAATCTTTAAAAAAGTACAGAGGATAAATAGTATGTACCACCTGCATAATGCTACCTTATTTTAATGTTCATTTTCAGATGGCACTGTAGCACTTCTGACATGATTGTTTCTTTAGCTTATTAAGACTGCCAGGATTCGGGGCGCCTGGGTGGCTCAGTTGGTTAAGCGACTGCCTTCGGCTCAGGTCATGATCCTGGAGTCCCGGGATCGAGTCCCACATCGGGCTTCC